GTGTGTGTGTAAGAGAGGCCTGTGGGTGTGTAAAGGAGACCTGTGAGCGTGTAAATGAAGCCCATGGAAACATAGCTGCATGTTTTTAAAGCAAGGTCCTGGGCACTCATTGTAAGCAGTGTTGACACAGCTGTTTGTTCAGGCAGTGAGAGGGGAGTCTCATTGCGGTGAGCTGGAGCTCAGAGTCTGCGTGTGTGTGAGTGTGTTTGTGTGTATGTGTGTGTGCGTGTGTGTGTGTGTCTGAGTGTGTGTCTGAGTGTGTGTGTGTATGTGTGTGTGTGTCTGTGTGTGTGTCTGTGTGTGAGTGTGTGTGTCTGTGTGTGAGTGTGTGTGTGTGAGTATGTGTCTGTGTGTGTGTGTGTGGGTGTGGGTATGTGTGTGTCTGTGTGTGAGTGTGTGTGTGTCTGTGTGTGTGTCTGTGTGTGTGTGTGAGTGTGTGTCTGTGTGCATGTGTGCATGTGTGTGTGTGTGTGTATGTGTGTGTGTGTCTGTGTGTGTGTGTGTGTGTGTATATGTGTGTCTGTGTGTGAGTGTGTGAGTGTGTGTGTGTCTGTGTGTGAGTTTGTGTGTGTGTGAGTATGTGCGTGTGTGTCTGTGTGTGTGTGTCTGTGTGTGAGTATGTGCGTGTGTGTCTGTGTGTGAGTGTGTGTGTGTGTGTGTCTGTGTATGACTGTGTGTGTGTGTGTATGTGTGTCTGTGTGTGTGTGTGTCTGTGTCTGTGTGTGTCTGTGTGTGAGTGTGTGTGTGTGTGTGTGTGTGTGTCTGTGTGTGAGTGAGTGTGTGAGTGTGTGTGTCTCTGTGTATGTGCCTGTGTGTGTGTGCACGTGCGTGTCCCGGTGTGTGTGTGTGCCTGTATGTGGATCAGTAGCGGTTTATCAGGTTATCAGGTTTGAGTTTTAACTAGTAGAGTTATATATCAACATTTCGCCATTATCTTCCTGGAGCTAGAATCAATGTATATGTAATAAGCAGTAATTTCTGTTATATACAGAAACATGGCCCCTGCCTTCTGTCAACTTGAGTCTAAAAGTCAGCTTAATTGAGGAACTGTGTGTCCTTTTAAAAAATCTTCAACTTTTGTGATTAACCTGAGAATAACAGTGTTACCCAGTGCGCTACCCCTGGGAGGTGGAGCAACACATCTCCACCTGGTTCTCTGCTTACTCTTCATTTTACAAAGAAATCCCTCCTCACCTGCTCAATCCTTCTGTTTGGTTTCATCTTCCCAATAACTCACTCAAATATTTTGTACACTTTTTTTTTCCAGTGCTTCAACACTCTCTGTATCGCCTGGAGACTAGAATAGCTCTCAGCAATGCAAATGCAAGATCTAACTGAGGATCTGTAGAAATGGCATTGCCTGCCTAGCTTTGCAGTTTATTCCTCTAGTTTGTTTGCACTATGACCTTATCAATTTCTGCTGCTACTTTCAGAGCTGTATTTCCAAGTCTCTTGCCCTCACCTCCAATTTGGTATTTCCGTTCCCAATGTCTCCCCCAAACTGAGTCGCCTCATACCTTGCTTCATCGAGTCACGTGTTCATCTCTTCCTGTATCTTGCTGCAGCCTTCCACATTATTAACTTTAAGCACCTCCATTTCAAACTGATATCATCTAAACATGTGGATATCATGATCATAGAACATAGAACATAGAACATTACAGCACAGTACAGGCCCTTCGGCCCTCGATGTTGCGCCGGCCTGTGAAACCAATCTGAAGCCCATCTAACCTAAACTATTCCATTATCATCCATATGTTTATCCAATGACCATTTAAATGCCCTTAAAGTGGGCGAGTCTACTACTTTTGCAGGCAGGGCATTCCACGCCCTTACTACTCTCTGACTAAAGAACCTACCTCTGACATCTGTCCTATATCTATCACCCCTCAATTTAAAGCTATGTACCCTCGTGCTAGCCATCACCATCCGAGGAAAAAGGCTCCCACTGTCCACCCTATCTAATCCTCTGATCATCCTCTGATCGCTGAGTGAATGTAAAAATGGGTCCAGTAAAGGGCCCTTCCCCACTCCTCCTAGCTCTGAGAAATTCCACTGGACTCTCACTGTTTCCTATTTTGTAGACCTCCTTATACATTCTGCTCCCCAGTCCTACAAACCCTGATACCTTGAACCACTTTATGTTATTCAAAGACCTTCTACAAATCCATGTCTAATTCGTTTGCTCTAATCTCTTCAAGAATTTCAATAAGTTTGGTCTTAACTTTAGAAATCCACAATTTTGTTTATTATGTTCTTCATCTCTGATGTTTTGTCAACATTTTCATTGTAGTAAACTTCTATTATCTTTCCTACCAATGATATGAAGCTGTCTGACTCCATACTACCACCTACTCCTGTGTTTTCCTGTTTTAGCTGGATTGCTTTAACGATGGAATCAAATACCTGCATTAGATGAGGTTAGACCGGGAGCAGAATCATAGGGCCAGATGTTACAGGCCACGGTACAGTCCACATAACCCCCCCCACCCCCCAGGTCTGACGCTGTGGGGGACAGCTGTAACTGTTTCAGACTGGCACTTGAGCACTAATCTGGGTACAGGTCCCACACCAGGCAATAGCCTGCCAGGGTCTTTGTCTGGCAGCTCTGTAATGCCAGCTACAGCTCAGACCACAGACTGTTCCCCAGGAGGAGAAGGGATGAGGCCTGGTGGTTCAAGTGGACTTACTCCAGCTGAGGTTACATGAGGGTTTTGTATCTGTTATTGTAACTCGCTGTCTTTGTAATATTCCTCTCTTTGTAAAGCCCATAAAGCCTTATCTTCAATAACTTCTCTATTAATCATGACCGTAAGACTTAGGAGCAGAATTAGACCATTCGGCCCATCGAGTCTGCTCTGCCATTCAATCATGGTTGATATTTTTCTCAACCCCTTTCTCCTACCTTCTCCCTGTGACCCTTGATCCCCATACTAACCAAGAACCTATCTATCTCTGTCTCAAATACACTCAGTTACTTGGCTACAGCTCTCTGTGGCAATGAGTTCCATAGAGTCACCACCCTCCAGCTGAAGAAATTCCTCCTCATCTCAGTTCTAAAGCGTCGCCCCTTCACTCTGAGGTTGTGCCGTCAGGTCCCAGTCTCTCTTACCAGTGGAAATATTTTCTCCATGTCCACTCTATCCAGGACTCTCAGTATCCTGTAAGTATCAATCAGATCCCCCTTTATCCGTCTAAACTCCATTGAGTACAGACCCAGAGCCTTCAACCACTCCTCAAATGACAAGCCCTTCATTCCTGAGATCATTCTTATAAACTTCCTCTGCACCCCCTCCAAGGCCAGCACATCCTTCCTTAGATATGGGGCCCAATACCTTCTCACTATATTCCAAATGTGGTCTGACCAGAGTCTTATAGAGCCTTAGCAGTACATCACTGCTCTAGTTTTCCAGAACATTCCCAGGACTCCATATTAAGATGGTATCTAATAGCACGTATCATTTCCTCTCACACTTGCGTATAAATCACTTGCTATTTTCCTGCACCGACTTTGGTCATGTGCCTACCCATTTCCCCTCCTCTGCAAGTGAGCTATAACATGTCTGAGCAGGTTCCACTGTGAGAATATCAGCACGGAAGGTGATGGTGCAGCGCTAATATCATTGGACTATTAATCCAGGACTCCAGGTTAATGTTCTGGGGCTATGGGTTCAAATCCACCACGCAGATGGTGAAACTTGAATTCCATAAAAATATGAAATGAAAAGCCAGTCTAATAGACAGATACATGATTGCCATAGAACCCATCTGTTCATTTATGACCTTTTGGGAAGGAAACTGCTGTCTTCACCTTGTCTGGCCGACAATTTAGTTGACTCCTAACTGCCCTCTGGGCAATTTAAGATGGGTAATAAATACTGGCCTGGCCAGCAACAAACACATCCTGTAAAAGAGCTAAACAAAAATGTAACATATAAAAAAGCAGATAACTAGGGTTTGAGTTACAGGGGGAGGCTGAACAGGCTGGGGCTATTTTCCCTGGAGCATCGGAGGCTGAGGCGTGACCTTTTAGACGTTTATAAAATCATGAGGGGCATGGATAGGGTGAATAGTCAAGGTCTTTTTCCCCAAGGTAGGGGAGTCCGAAACTAGTAGGCATAGCTTTAAGGTGAGAGGGGAAAGATGTAAAAGGGACCCTATGGGGCAACCTTTTTTACACAGAGGGTGGTGCGTGTATGGAATGAGCTGCCAGAGGAAGTGGTGGAGGCTGGTACAATTACAACATTTAAAAGGCATCTGGATGGGTACATGAATAGGAAGGGTTTAGAGAGATAAGGGCCAAATACTGGCAAATGGGACTAGATTTATTTAAGATATCTGGTCAGCATGGACGAGTTGGTCTGTTTCCATGCTGTACAACTCTATGACGCTATAACTATATAAGTAGCCTTGTGATATAGATTGGCAAGGTGTTAGGATAAAGAAAATCAGGAAGGAATTCCTGACCTGGTGTGACCTCAAACTGTCTCCTCGAAAATGATCTGGATACTCTCAACATGGAGAGTTCAAAACACGTGTTTGTCTGGCCTCAGCTAGAGGGCTGTTTCTACCTTGGAGCACTAGAAGACAGAGCAAGGGAAACAAAGGAGCCTTCCAAAGATGAGGGATTTCACATGTGTGGACAGATGAGTAATGCTGGGATTGTTCTTCTTTCAGTGGAGAACAGAAGATTTAATAGAGATTCTCAAAACTGAGGGGCTTTTGTCGAGTTGATAGAGAAAAACACTTTTCACTTGTCAGAGAGTCAGATCTAAATTAAGTAACAAAAAGCCAAGGGAGAGATGGAGAGAAACATTTAGTCAGTGAGTTACGGTCTGGAATTCACTAATGGGAAGAATGATGGAAGATGATTCATTCTTTCAGCTGGATAAATGCCTGCAAAGGAGGAATTTTACCTGGACTCTGGGAAAAGAGCAGGGAGTGGCTCTAATCTGAAAGCACTCTCACAAGGAGACATTGCACTGAATGGTGTCCATCCCCTTCGCCCCCTATCTCTGTGATAACCGAGAGCCACTTACCGGTTGTAAACTCCACACGGAGAAAGCAGTTAGTGAAACTCTCCAAACTGATCATTCCTGATGAGTCACCGAACCTCAGAGTCATGAGATTGAGTGCAGAGTTAGCCACTGTAAATCCTTAGAGACACAAAGAAAAACATCCACAAAGTAACATGAAAAAAAATGGCATTTACTGTGAGACACTACTTTTTGTCAACACAACATCAGTGTTTGTAACTTATTTTCAGTACATTTCATGTTTATTGAGGTGAGGGGTGGTTATGCTAATGTAACAGTCACCATGGCTAACATGCAGAATTCTGGAACCAATATAACACTGGGTAAATATAACACCAAGTCCCACTATACTGTCCTGCAAACACTCTCAGAACAGGTACAACACAGGCTAGATACATAATAGGACTTTCATTACACTGCCCTATTAAACACTCATCAAACAGGTCGATATAGAGGTTTATAAAATCATGAGGGGCATGAATAGGATGAATAGACAATGTTTTCTTCCCAGGGTGGGAGAGTCAAAAATGAGAGGGCGTAGGTTTAATGTGAGAGGGGCAAAATTTAAAAGGGACCTAAGAGGCAACTTTTTCATGCAGAGGGTGGTGCGTGTATGGAATGAACTGCCAGAGGAGGTGGTAGAGGTGGGTACAATTACAACATTTAAAAGGCATCTGGACAGGTACATGAATTGGAAGGGTTTAGAGGGATATGGGCCAAATACTGGAAAATGGGACTATATCAGTTTGGGATGTCTGGTCGGCATGGACAATTTAGCCTGAAGGGTCTGTTTCTGTGCTATACAACTCTATGACTCTTGGTACAACATAGATTAAATACAAAGTAAATCACCCACTCAATACTCTGAAGAGACGACAGGTTAGATACAGGGTAAAACTCTCAGGGCTCTATTCTAATAAACAGCACCAGGGCAGGTGAAGTGTGAGTTAGATACAAAGTAAAGCTCCCACCATACCTCAAACACAGCCCATGTAGATTCAACATGGAGTTGGACAAACAAACCTCCCGTTACATTGTGTGTGACTTACATATCTTAGAATATCATTTATTTTTGGATGTTTTTGGATTTTGAACTAGTGACATGTGGGTTTTCCATGCCTGAAGTGGTTCAATGATTTTCTTGTAAATATTTCCATAGGAATGATGATTTCTTTTAAAATACAGCATTAGAAAGAGACTTCATGTAAACTTTTGATTGCATTGGGAGAGTTTACAAGCAAGCAAGGTAAACAATCTAGTGTCATACGCTTTACAAAGAACAAAGAAAATTACAGCACAGGAACAGGCCCTTCAGCCCTCCAAGCCTGTGCTGACATGCTGTCCATTAAAACTAAAGCCCCTACCCTTCCAGGGACTGTATTCAGGTAAAAGAATCTGGAATTTTATTTGAGTTTAGGGTAACACCAAAGCTTGAAAAAATATCTTGTGTGTTCCCGTTTGGAGTAGTTTTCAAAAGTCTTAGCTGTAGCTGGACAGTTGCTCCAGAGAAAAAGATGTAGTTTAGAACTGATAAAATAGAGATTACGTCTGTGTCACATTAAATGTTCCAGACCAGAAGTGTTTGGTTAAAAACAGAGCGAGGGTTATTTGAAGTGAGAAAGTTCAAGCTGAGATGTCTGAAGGCTCCAGGAAGAGTTTATCAGAATTTCAAGGTGGGAATTAAAGTCACAGTTAAATTAAATCCCATAAATGTGAAATTGAAGGGAATTTTCTCTGGTGTGAGGACTGTAAAGGAGCTTTTTTAGGATTAATGGCTTTTTTTTACTGTGTGTTTCAAAATCTTGAATTTGTGGTATGAGTAAATAATCTGGTTTATTCTATTTTATCTTCATTTCTTTTATGTAATAGGCTTATCTTTTCATTTTAAACCCAAATCCGCATCATTGTATGTTATATTTCAGTGAATGATCACATTGTTAAAACCACAAAATTAAAATATGATCCATTAAGCCAGATTTCAGTCAGGGATCTGACATGTCCAGTAATAACATCAGCCGGGATCATAACAATTATCCTACCAAACACTCTCAGAATAAATACAGTACTGGTTAGAAACATAAAACTATTGCTACACTGTTGCCTCAATCCTGGTTAGATACGCCAAGTCCCACTACACTATCCTGTCAACCACTCCCTGGACAGGTGCAGCACAAATTAGATCCAGAATAATGTTCCCTTCACAATGTCCCCAGGGACCACTCCCAGGACTGATACAGCATGAGGTTAGATCCAGAGTTATGCTCATTGTAAAACTGAGAGATATGAGATTGGATACAACTATCCAATGTGGAATGGAATAATGACACAGACAACATAGTCAACAAAGGAATTGTATATTGAACTGATGACAGTAAGTACACTGGAAGCTCTAATCTCAAGCTCAAACTAACTTTTTCACAGTTAGTTAAAAATAAAGCAACATGGATAAATCATTATTCACTGAGAATTCATACAGCACAAGTTAGATACAGAGTGAAACTCTCTCTACAGTGTCCCATCAAACACTCCCAATGCAGACACACCTTGGGGTTAGATACAGAGTGAAACTCTCTCTCTGCACTGTCCTATCAGACATGGTAATTTTTATCACTTCATTTCTTGCTGGTGACAAATTAAGCTTAATGCATGCCTCTACTCCAACGAAGACCAGGCCAGGATTATCAATCTCACATGTAGCTTCACCAACGCACATCTAATCCTAATGGTATCATTGGAGGCTGGAAACTTACCAACTTCCTGCAGGCTGTCGGAGAGTTGTGTTGGATGCAGCAGGCCCGTACCGTCCATGTCCCTCTTGTGGAATAGTTCCTAACACAGAGACAAAGTGACTCAGAATTTCCTTCCAAAATGACAGAGCTCTCACTATCCTGGCAATGAAGTATTATTTATTAAACCATTGTGCTTCCATCCTCCCAGGACCCTCAGGCAAACATTACTCGCCTTCTCTCATTGTCTCCTTTCGCCAAAACAAGCAACCTGGAAGCCTTCCTCTCCAATATCAACGTGACCACAACTTCACTGAAAGCTGTGGGCTTGGGACAGGCAGCATAGCGACGCTCAATAATCAAGGATCCCGAGCAAAATGTCAACTGCAAAGCTGTCCATTTGTTCGAGTTATACCCAGCATGAAAACGGACAATTATGGCTGTTGGGAGGTCAGTCATCTCAGCTCCATGACATCTCTGCAGGAGTTCCTCAGGATAGTGTCAGAGAATCATTAAATCTACAAATGAGGCCCTTCAGCCCATTGAGTCTGTACTGAGAAAACGACTCTACATTTATGCTAGTCCCAATTTCTAAAGCTTGCCCCAAGGCCTTAAATGTTATGACAGTTTAAGTGCTCATCCATGGTCTTTTTAAAGGTTGTGAGATTTCCAGCCTCTACTACCCTCTCGGGCCATGCATTCCAGATTCCCCACCACCCTCTGGGTGAAAAATCCTTTCCTCCAATCCCCTCTAACTTTCACTTTAAAATTATGCCCATTGTTATTAAGCCTTCAACTAAATAGAAAAGTGGCTTTCACCATGTATGTGCCCTTCAATCTTATTCAATATTACCCCCTCAACCTTCTCTGCTCTAAAGAAAACAACCTGAGCTTATCCAGTCTCTCTTCGTAGCTGAAATGGTCCATCCCAGGCAACATCCTGGTGAATTTCCCTCTGTACCCCTTTCAGTGCAATCACATCCTTCCTATTGTGCGGTGACCAGAACTGCACACAGTACTCCAGCTGTGGCCTAGTCAAGATTCTGTGCAGCTCCAACATAACCTCCCTCCTCTTGTAATCTATACCACAACTGATAAAGGCAAGTCCCATATTCTGCCTTAACTAGCCTATTAATCTGTTCTTCTGTCTTCAGAGAGCAGCATCCCTCTGATCCTCTGAGCTTCCTAGTGTCTTGCCATTCATTGAGTGTTCCCTTGTCTTGTTCTTTCTTCCAAATTATATTGTCTCACGTTTATCAGGGTTAAATTCCATCAGCCATGGATTTACCTGCCTGACCACTCTGTTTATATCTTCCTTTAACCTAAGACCTCCTTTCCTCCGTTAACCATTCGGCCAATCTTTGTGTCATCTGCAAATTGACTTATCATCCTTCCACAATCTCTTCTACACCATTTATGAACATTACAAATAATAAGGAACCGGCAGTTATCCCTGTGGTACACCACTGCACTTTGGGTTCTAGTCTCACATACAGCCTTCTACCACCACCCTCTGGCTCCTATCACAAAGCCAATTTTGGATCGAACTTGCCAAGTTATGCTGGATCTCATGTGCTATTACCTTCTTTATCAGTTTCCCACATGGGACCTTGTCAAAGGCCTTGCTGAAATCCGTTTAAACTACACCAACTGCCCTACCCACATCTACACACTCGGTCACCTCCTTAAAAAATGCAATCAAATTCGTTAGGCATGACCTCCCTCCGACAAAGCCATGCTGACTATCCCTGATCAAACCTTGCCTCTCTAACTGGGCACTAATTCTCTCCTTCAGTGTTTTCTCCCAATACTTTTCCTGCCACTGATATGAGACTCGCTGGTCTGTAATGCCCTAGCGTATCATTACCAACCTTCTTTAAAAGTGGATCCACATTAGCTGTCTTCCAGCCCTCTGGCACCTCCGCTATAGCCAGAGAGGAATTAGAAATTTGGGTCCTAGGCCCAACCACCTTAAGTTGCTTCATCAATGACCTTCCCTCCATCATAAGGTCAGAAGTGGGGATGTTCGCAGATGATTGCACAATGTTCAGCACCATTCATGATTCCTCAGATACTGAAGCAGTTCATGTTCAAATGCAATAGGATCTGGACAATATCCAGGTTTGGGCTGACAAGTGGCAAGTGACATTCGTGCCACACAAATGCCAGGCTATGTCCATCACCAATAAGAGACAATCTAACCACCGCCCCTTGACACTCAATGGTGTTACCATCACTGAATCCCCCACTATCAACATCCTGGGGGTTACCATTGACCAGAAACTCAACTGGACTCACCACATAAACACAGTGGCTACAAGAGCAGGTCAGAAGCTGGGAATACTGTGGTGAGTAGCTCATCTCCTGACTCCCCAAAGCCTGTCCACCATCTACAAGGCACAAGTCAGGAGTGTGATGGATACTCCCCACTTGCCTGGATGGGTGCAGCCCCAACAACACTCAAGAAGCTTGACACCATCCAGGACAAAGCAGCCGCTTGACTGGCACAACATCCACAAGCATTCACTCCCTCCACCACCGATGCTCAGTAGCAGCAGTGTGTGCTGTCAGCAAGACCCTCAGACAGCACCTTCCAAACCCACAACCTCCTTCATCTCGAAGGACAAGGGAAACAGATACATGGGAACACCACCCTGCATAAATTCCCCTCCAAGCCACTCACCATCCTGACTCAGATATATATCGCCGTTCCTTCACTGCCGCTGGGTCAAAATCCTGGAATTCCCTCCCTAATAGCATTGTAGGTCAATTGACAGCAAATGAACTGCAGCGGTTCAAAAAGGCAGCTCACCCCCACCTTCTCAATGGGCAGCTAGGGGTGGGCAAGAAATGCTGGCCCAGCCCATGTGCCAAGAATGGATAAACAGAAGTCAAATTTCAGCATCTGACGATATCAGACAATAAACCATTGGGTTTTTCTGACTGTCTGGCAGTCTGTAATGGTCACCATCCTCGTGCCAGTCCAGCCAATTTCGTACCATATGATGGTGGGAATTGAACTCATGAGCTTGAACTATTTGATCAGAAACATAACCACCCTCAGAGGAAGCAAACTGAGAGCAAGTGGTGATAGACATGGTTCCACTGCAGATGCCCAGTGGAAGTTCTCTCAGAGAAACTCAATGGACAACGAAGTGGGAAATGTGGCCAGGTTTAGGGATGATGGAATGCAGCAGAACAGGTTATGTGAGTAATAACAAGACCCTTGTCACGTCTCAGTCTGTCACTAACCAAAACATCTTGTGAACCTTTGCTGTTTGTTCCAACGTACCTTAAAAAGCAACAGCTTTTCCCACAGGCGTCTGAAATCGTGTTTGTCAAGTCTTCCCGTTCCACTGAACTGTATCTGCCAGTTAAGTCTAGACACAGTGACCACAGTGAGTAAAACAGAATGTCAAATATACTGCTGTTTGCCTGGCAGTATTCCAGCCAACTGCTGTGTCTGAAGAGGTAATGTGTCTCAACAACTGTAGCATGTATTGGATAGTACCCAAACAGGCAGGAAGCTGTGCTGGTGGGAAACAGCTAGAGGGACCAGATCCTGACTGTCAGATCCTGGGTCATGGCTGAAAGGGAAGGGACAATCTTTTCGACATTTTTTACCCCCACTGGAGTCACTGGTGATTCCAACTCACATTGACCAATCAGTTCAGACCATTGCTTGTTCTCCTGCGGAGCCTTCTGTCAATGTTAGATCGCACTCTCTCTTTATCAAGCACTCACCAAAGACTGTTCAACTTATAATTTATTCCTTTGTTTTCCTCGTTTAAACTATGAGAGGCTTTAATGTAAATGTTACCTATTTTCCAATATTCTGTGAAGTCATGCATAACGTTTTAACTCTCGTTTCTCTTACTACTTTGTACCCGAGTTTTTTTTTGTTCCTAGCTATCTAAGATGGAGATGTATATGGCGATATTATAGACTTCTCACTGTATTCCTGTAGTTCTGTACTTGAGTACGCATGACTATAAAATCTAAAATATCTAAATCAAGGGCATCCTGCATTCACCCCAATCTGCAGGATGTGAGCAGGGGCCATGTCTAATGCAGCCCCTAACCTGTACAGCTGATCTGTGAAGGAGACTGGAGCAGAGTACAGGGCACTGCCTTGTTACACATGCATCAACAAATCAGTGGGTGAGAATCTCAGAATGCTGAGGCCAGGCCTATCCTCTAGTCTCAGGTTCAGGTCACTTCCATCTCAGACCCACACTCAGGGCTCACTCTTTCACCAAAACTCAGTCCAGTGCCCCAGTCTCATTCTGCCTCCAGTCTCTGCCCCGTTCCCCCAGTCCCTGCCCCATCCCCCAGTCACTGCCCCAATCCCCCAGTCTTCACCCCATTCCCCCAGTCCCTGTCCCATTCCCCCAGTCCCTGCCCCGTCCCCCAATCCCTGCCCCATTTCCCCAGTCCCTGCCCCATTGCCCCAGTCCCTGCCCCGTCCCCCATTCCCTGCCCCAATCCCCCAGTCTTCACCCCATTCCCCCAGTGCCTGCCCCGTCCCCCATTCCCTGCCCCAATCCCCCAGTCTTCACCCCATTCCCCCAGTCTCTGTCCCATTCACCCAGTCCCTGCCCCATCCCCCAGTCCCTGCCCCATTCCCCCAGTCCCTGCCCCATTCCCCCAGTCCCTGCCCCATTTCCCCAGTCCCTGCCCCATTCCCCCAGTCTCCATCCCATTCTCCTAGTCCCTGCCCCATTCCCCCAGTCTCTGCCCGCTCCCCCAGTCTCTGCCCCGTCCCCCAGATTCTGCCCCATCCCCAGACCCTGACCCATCCCCAGACTCTGCCCCATCCCCAGACTCTGCCCCATCCCCAGACCCTGCCCCGTCCCCAGACCCTGCCCCATACCCCAGGCCTCATCTCAGTGCTCACATCAATCACATGACCATGTTGAAGTGCCTGAGGGAGGGTTCCACTGCCAGATGAGTCAAAGGTTTTATCAACCCAGTGTGGCACTGGAGCCATCAGGGACAATCTGTCGCAGTGTGTACGGCAGGGACTGGCAGGGGCTGGCAGTGTGTATGGCAGGGACTGGCAGTGTGTATGGCAGGGACTAGCAGTGTGTATGGCAGGGATTGGCAGTGTGTACAGCAGGGACTGGCAGGGGCTGGCAGTGTGTATGGCAGGGACTGGCAGTGTGTACGGCAGGGACTGGCAGTGTGTATGGCAGGGACTGGCAGGGGCTGGCAGTGTGTACGGCAGGGACTGGCAGTGTTTACAGCAGGGACTGGCAGTGTGTATGGCAGGGACTGGCAGGGACTGGCAGTGTGTATGGCAGGGACTGGCAGGGACTGGCAGTGTGTACGGCAGGGACTAGCAGTGTGTACGGCAGGGACTGGCAGGGGCTGGCAGTGTGTACGGCAGGGACTAGCAGTGTGTATGGCAGGGACTGGCAGTGTGTACGGCAGGGACTGGCAGTGTGTATGGCAGGGGCTGGCAGGGACTGGCAGTGTGTATGGCAGTGACTGGCAGGGACTGGCAGTGTGTACGGCAGGGACTGGCAGTGCGTACGGCAGGGATTGGCAGTGTGTATGGCAGGGACTGGCAGTGTGTACAGCAGGGACTGGCAGTGTGTATGGCAGGGATTGGCAGTGTGTATGGCAGGGACCGCCAGTGCGTATGGCAGGGGCTGGCAGTGCGTATGGCAGGGGCTGGCAATGTGTATGGCAGGGACAGGCAGTGCGTATGGCAGGGGCTGGCAGTGT